GTTTTGAGTTGGTACTTCGCATTAAGTGGTTGCAAACTTTGGGAGCTGTGTTATGGGATTTTTCTGAACTCACAATGAGTTTCAAAATCAACAATCATTCTGTCATGTGGCAAGGCGAACGAGACAGATTGCACAACTCTATATTGACAACCCAGGTTACAAATACTTCTGCCCTTGATCATCTATTACTGCAATTTGATGCTATTTTCCAGACTCCCACAACTCTACCTCCTGCCCATCCGTGTGACCATCTGATTCCACTCAAACATGGTTCTAACCCTACTGTTGTTCATCCATATCGTTATCCACAACTACAAAAAGAGGAGATAGAAAAATTGTGCAACGAAATGCTTCAGGCAGGCATAATCTGACCTAATCACTCACCTTTTTCTTCCCCAGCGCTGCTCGTAATCAAACACGACAAAACATGGAGATTTTGTGTTGATTATCGAGAGTTTAATGCTATCAGTCTATCACCATCAAAGATAAATTTCCCATTCCCGTCATTGATGAACTACTAGATGAACTTCATGGAGCTAAATTCTTCACCAAACTTGATTTACGCTCTGGCTATCATCACATCCGGATGCATCCCGACGACCCGAAGATATTGAAAAACTGCATTTCGTACCCATCACGGGCACTTTGAATTTTTAGTGATGCCCTTCGGGTTATGCAATGCACCGTCCACCTTTCAATATCTGATGAATGATGTCTTCAAAGACTTTCTACGTAAGTTCGTGTTAGTTTTCTTTGATGATATTCTCGTGTATAACAAAACTTGGGTGGAGCACCTTCATCATCTCAAATTGGTCTTTCACTTGTTACAACACCATTAGTTATATGTTAAGAGGGTGAAATGCTCATTTAGCGAAGCTAAGGTTGCTTATCTTGGACACATAATCACTCAAGAAGGAGTCACAGTGGACGAAGAGAAGGTACTGGCAGTCCGACAATGGCCAAAACCTCTCACAATTCGTGCATTGCGTGGGTTTCTTGGTCTTTCTGGATTTTTATCGGAAATTCATCAATGACTATGGGACAAATGCAGCGCCCCTTACTGCAATGCTGAAACAGAAGTCCTTCCAGTGGACCGATGCAGCCGTAGAGTCATTCCAAACTCTCAATGCAGCCCTCTCGACTGCCCCTGTTTTACGGCTTCCTGATTTTTCCTTGACATTTATTGTAGAATGTGATGCTTCTGGAGTGGGAATCGGTGTTGTTCTTCAGCAAGACAATCAACCAATTGCCTTTTTCAGTCGTAAGATAGCCAACCGCCACATCAAACTTCCTGCTTATGAACGGGAACTCATCGGATTGGCTCAGGCAGTCTGCCACTGGCGACATTATTTATGGGGGAGGTCGTTCATCGTGCGCACTGACCACTACAGCCTTAAGTACCAACTAATGCAACGCCTTACAACCCCATCTCAACAACACTGGGTGAGCAAGCTACTGGGCTTCGAATTTGATGTGGAATACAAATCTGGGAGACTCAATACAGTAGCAGATGCTCTATCACGCCAACATGAAGATGAACCAGGTGAGGCACAGGGGTTCTTATTGGCCTTGTCAGACCGACATTCTTCATTCCTTCAAGCTGTCCAGGATGAATGGCAGTCAAGCTCGGAAGGGCAACAATTGATCGAACGCATTCGTAAGGGTGAGGAAGGGTCACAATGGTTTATTTGTGATGGGCTGGTCCATTAAAACAATTGACTTTTTTTGCTTCCAAGCTCTACTTTAATTCCAGTTGTATTGAGAGATATTCATGATACTACCCATGAAGGCATGCAAAAAACATTGTTTTGCGTAACTCGAGAATTCCATTGGAAGGGCATAAAAAAGAGTGTTCGTGAATGGGTATAGGGCTGCTCCATATGTCAAAGAAACAAGACAAAAAACTTGCACCCGGCTGGCCTTCTACAACCTTTACCGATCCCCGAGCATATCTGGTCAGATATTTCATTGGACTTTGTTGAAGGACTGCCAAAGGTGGAAGGTAAATCTGTGCTTTTGGTGGTTGTTGACCGCCTCTCCAAATACACACATTTTATACCTTTGGCTCATTCGTACACTGCCTTACCTGTTGCCCGCGTCTTTTATGCTAATATTCTTAAACTTCATGGATTCCCGAAGACTATGATCAGTGATCGAGACCCTCTCTGCGGTACATCTTTGGCCTTCTCATCATCCTACCACCCACAAACGGATGGTCAAACAGAAGTGGACAACCAGACAATTGAAATGTACTTGCGGTGTTTGGTTGGAGACTATCCACGTCGCTGGGTGGAATGGTTGCCCTGGGCTGAATATTGTTACAATACCTCTTATCACTCGGCTCTAGACACTACTCCGTTCAAACTTGTGTATGGTCGTCACCCTCCCCGCATGTTAACCTATGATCCCGGATCCTCCAAGGTCGAAGCAATAGACATATCCCTCAAGGCTCGTGACGAGATGCTAGCCGATGCCCGCAGTCACCTACAACAAGCCCAAGCTCGTATGACAACTATATATAACCAACACCATCGTGACATCAGTTTTCAGCCTGATCAATGGGTGTGCTTACGCCTCCACCCTTACCGTCAGCACTCAGTTCAAGCTCGTAAGTTTCATAAGCTTAGTCCACGTTTCTTTGGCCCTTTCCGTGTGCTCCGCAGAATAGATTCAGTGGCCTATCATCTGGAACTACCTCCCAACAGTCGTATACATGATGTTTTTCATGTCTCCCTATTGAAAGAATTTAAAGGCAAACCTCCAGCACACATTACTGCCATACCTCTCCTTCATGACGGTAAGGTTCTACTTCAACCAAAAGACATCTTACGTTGTCGTGGAAACCAAGCAGATTCTAGTCTCATGGGAAGGCTCACAGATTGAGCTAGGATGCTACTTGGGAGGACTTCAACGAGTTTACTCAGCTTTACCCACACTTCAAGCTTGAGGACAAGCTTGCTCTCCAGGGGGAGTGTATTGATACATTCCTTGGTCGCACCTACCAACGTCGCAGAGAATTAAAATAATTAGTACTGATGTTTTAATTCGTGTGTGTTAGTTAAAATAATTAGTATAGTTGTTTTAATTCGTGTGTGTTAGTTTTTTTGATCATAGGTTAGTTGTTGGTTATTTAAAATAAGTGCTTGTTGCACATACTAGCAGTTTAAGATCATGGATCTACTTTCCTAAAAAAAAGAATGACACCCCATCCCTGAGGGCCCCCCAACACTGACCGGACGGCACGATGGGAGGATGTAAATTGGACTATAATCACAATCTGACAGATAGAGAGTGGGGCTCTGTCCCCGGTACTTGCAGAAGCCCTATGCATTTTTCAGCATAGTAACCCCTCATCGCAGTTGCCGGGATTCGAACCCGAGACCTAACCCTTGTGGCACTCCCTCGCTACCAGTTGAGCTACGCCCACCGGTCATGGATCTACTTTCCTAGTTTTTAGGAGTGGTTGTAACTTCCTGTCTCTATTTAAGAGAATGATGATTTGAATATAAAGCTATCTGAAAATTCCCCAATTAGTTTAGCCAGGGAGTTTGGAGAACTCAACAACATCCCCTACAGCACTCTTAGATATATGCATTGTTCTTCTTCCAAAACTAATAATCTGCCTCCCTCAACCCATCCTGTGATGCGATCCCAAACCCGGGCCTGTATCAACCATGGTGCTAAAATAACTTTTTATATAAAATTTGAGGTATTTAAACTACATATGCAAGTTTGTGATGCTTACCTCATATGCCTTCAAAGTTTGGGGTATTTTATTTATTTTTACCGGGTTGGACTTGTAAAAGTTACGGAGTATAAGTTAAAATTTAAAAACTGATCTTTGAACATAATGTGTCAAATATTTAAATTGTTTTAACTATGATTTATGGTGCAAGTTTTATCAATTTGAGTGGGCTGACACTCCTTTCTACGCCCGACCATATTTGTTACGGGCCATTAAATGTTAATTATGTCTCGTAAAAAAAAAGTTACTAGTATACAATACCTACTAAGTACTACGTAGTACGTACTAACTATAACAAAACGTTATTGCTATCATTTTACTTCCAAATATAAGTGAAACATACATTATTTTTAAGATCTTGTAATAAGTATAGTTTTGTTCATATTTATTTTTGCAAAAATGTATGTGATGTATTTGAATATTTATTCTAGAAAGGAAAATAATTTCAAATTTATTTCAGAAAATGAAAAAAATAAATATCAAATAACGTTATCGACTTAAGTACTTAAGATTAAAACCCCTTTTAAAATGTTTGTGTGTTTTTCGGTGTTTACCAAACATTGACGTACATAATTTCATTATTGTGAAGACTAATTAGCTTTCATTTTAATTTTATATTAATATATTATACTTCGTATATGTTAAGTACTATAAAGTTTTATAAATGTCGATCGGGGGTTTTCCGGCGTTGACCGGGTTGACCCACCGACTTCGGACCATCCAGTTGACCCGTGATCCAGTCACTCGATCAAGTCGATCACCGTCCAATTAGGTATATGTGGGTGTGGGGAGTATCTCCAACCCCACCTTTTTAAGGGCATGCCAACTTTCATTTCTAATCTTCGATTGGGCAATCACCAAAGAGAAAGAAAAAATTCCACAAGTAATACTCTTTGAAAAGTGATTGACAAAAATGTGACTTGGTAACTTTTAGTGACTATAATTGTGTTCAAAGTGTTGGGGAAAACACGATCCCTGACTTCTTCCAGGATCATCAGCTCAAAGGTCTCTTGTACATTCACCCACCCACTCGTAACACAAAGATTCAATCTAACAATATCACTTTGTATTATACAATTGAAATGTACAAGAGATATTTTACAAGTAAACGGGTAACTCACTTCACTCTTTGTATATGAGACTACTTCACTCACACACACACCTCTCTCAAGGAAGCACTCACTCACTCAAGAGCTCTCTCCTCAAAGCTCTCTCTCTCATCACTTGAGGAAACTCTCTCTAGGCTCTCTCTCTAGGCCCTCACATGGCTCTCTCACTAGAAATGAGGAGTGTCACCCCTATTTATAATAATCTCCTCAAGCTCCTCTAGAACTCTCTATACTTCTAGATTCTTCCAAGAAGTGACCACAGGCTTCTCTATTCTTCTAGAAGGATTTAGAGAACTCAACACTGCTCCAGGATATTCTAGAGGCCGCTTCTGCACGATTCTAGAGAATTCCACACTTCTCTAGAAAGCTCCACAATGTTCTAGAATATTCTACACTCTTCCACACGCTTCTAGACAATTCCACGTTTCTCTAGAAAGCTCCAGAATATTCTAGAACATTCAATACTTCTCTACACACATCTAGAGAATTCTAGACATCACCGCAATATTCTAGAATTCTCGTTAACTTCTCAATTAAGGAGGGATCCCAACAAATCTCCCCCTACCGACTTAATTGAGAAGTAACAGCCTACCACCAATGAGAGTCTCACATTTAGACTCAACAATCTCCACCTCACATGTGAGTTGCTCCCCCTCAAACAATGCTTGTATCACACCATATGAGCAGCTACAAGGAATGGTCATGATCTCCTCCGCAGCAAGAAATAATCCACTAAACTATCTTGTACCGCCGTTATCTACTAACGGGACACGCCGCCTGATGGCCTCATTATCAGGAAAAGACTATCGATACAACGCATCAATAGTAGATCAAATCGAAAGACCAAACCCTGTATGTGATGTTCTCAAGAAGATCTCCTCTCCGCCAACACCTGACCTGCAATTCTTCTTGTACCACCGTTGTTTACCAACGGGACACGCCGCCTGACCACCACAATATCATGAAGACTTTCGATACAACGCACCACTAATAGATCAAATCACGAGACCAGCCTGAGAACCATCCACACAATGCATCTCATCACTCTACTCCATATATGTATGACCCAAGCTCTAAAGTGAAGTCAATCATCCCATCAAAGAGTGTGATCTGGAATGCCTCTGACAATGCCGCTACCAACACAGTAATTAAAACGAGATCCATCCCCATGAAGAACTCTACGCGTTTCTCCACCTCCAATAACCTGGCTCTGATACCACTGTTGGGGAAAACACGATCCCTGACTTCTTCCAGGATCATCAGCTCAAAGGTCTCTTGTACATTCACCCACCCACTGATAACACAAAGAATCAATCTAACAATATCACTTTGTATTATACAATTGAAATGTACAAGAGATATTTTAAAAGTAAACGGGTAGCTCACTTCACTCTTTGTATATGAGACTACTTCACTCACACACACACCTCTCTCAAGGAAGCACTCACTCACTCAAGAGCTCTCCTCAAAGCTCTCTCTCTCATCACTTGAGGAGACTCTCTCTAGGCTCTCTCTCTAGGCCCTCACATGGCTCTCTCACTAGAAATGAGGAGTGTCACCCCTATTTATACTAATCTCCTCAAGCTCCTCTAGAACTCTATACTTCTAGATTCTTCCAAGAAGTGACCACGGGCTTCTCTATTCTTCTAGAAGGATTTAGAGAACTCCACACTGCTCCAGGATATTCTAGAGGCCGCTTCTACACACTTCCGCACGATTCTAGAGAATTCCACACTTCTCTAGAAAGCTCTACAATGTTCTAGAATATTCTACACTCTTCCACACGCTTCTAGACAATTCCACGTTTCTCTAGAAAGCTCCAAAATATTCTAGAACATTCAATACTTCTCTACACACATCTAGAGAATTCTAGACATCACCGCAATATTCTAGAATTCTCATTAGCTTCTCAATTAAGGAGGGATCCCAACACAAAGTTACTATGATGTAGCAACCGTGATGTAAACTTTGAACACAATTATAGTTACTAAAAGTTACCAAGTCACATTTTTGTCCATGGCTTTTTTATTAGTAATATTTTAGGAAAAATCTACCAAAGAAATAGCCAGCACCTGCCGTCTCATGCTTGTAGGTTCTTACACGGCCAAAAGATTCAGTTTAAACACTCCCCCAAAATTTTATAATTCGGACTGTGGACTCCAATTAAGAGCCGTTATTGTCAATTACGGAGTAATTATTACTTCTTGAGTCAATTCCCTAAATAGGACTAAAAAGTGGCAAAATTGCACAAATAGAACTACATTTTTTAAATTCCCTTAATATGACTATTTATGTGTGTTTGGACAAATATACCCTTGTAACTTGTGAAATGTTTTAATTAATAATAAAATCATAAAAAAAACTAATAAAAATCGAAAAAAATACTAAAAAACATAAAAAAAAAATAATAGAAAATTAATAAAAATATTTTTAAAAAAAAATTAATTTTTTTTTAAAATAATTAAAAAAAAAATAAAAAATTGTAAAATTAAAAAAAAAAAGCATTACCACCCCCATAACCACCAGCTCCCATCACCGGAGAAAAATATGCCAACATTTTAAATAATGCCATAATGATGGCATATTAAATGAAAATGTTGGCATATTGAAGAGTAATTATGCCATCTTTTTGGCATTTTCAGAAAAAGATGACAGTTTTTTACCAAAAGTGGAAGAAATTTCACCAATTGGAGGTGGTGGTGCTAGGAGGCGGCGGGAGGCGGTGGGAAAGGTATCCATAATTTTTTTCATTTTTTATTGGTTGTTACTATTTTTTATTATTTTTTAAAAAAAATTAAAAAAAATTGAAATTAAATTTTTTATTATATAAATGTTTTATAATTTTTTTATAATTTTTTTACGTTTTTTAAATATTTTTTTACGTTTTTTTATGATTTTATTATGAATTAAAGCATTTCATTATGAATTAATACTCTTAGGGGTATTTAGGGTAGAAAATCAATGTTTAGTCTTATTTAGGGAATTTAAAAAGTAGCAATCCTATTTGTGCTTTTTAGGAACTCATTAGTCCTATTTAAGACAATTTCCGTTACTTTTCAATTCAATTCCGTTACTTTTCAATTCCTATTTAGGAACTCATTCGCCCACGCTAGAAACTTCCACACCTCAACCATGGTGGAGGTATTAATAACTGTATGACCTTACACAATTTCTAAGTGAGGTGATTCATTAGAAATTGTACATAAAGATAGGATTAGCCCTAAATAGGATTAAAATTACTCTTAAATAAAACAACATGATTATTATCTTTTTATTCCCAAAATAGCTCAGGAGTAATGTGGCTCCATTTGGAAAGCAGCGATTTACCCAAACCGCTATTGTTCTTATACTTAGAAACGCTGCTTTTTGCAGCGGGTGGGTACTAATCCGCCATAAAACAAACGATGTATGTATGTTCCATCTTCCTATTCTACCCCTTTCTATATTAATCCCCAATAAGACTCATTTTATTAATAATAAAATCATAATTTTATTTATAATAAAACATAAAAGTAATACAGATTTTTATAAATTCATAATAAAAGCGTAAAAAAATGAAAAATTAAGTAAATAAAACATAAAGATATCTAAGATGTTAAAAAATATGTAGATCTCTCATGTTGCATCTTCCACCTCCCACCACCACCGTATCTCATCGTCGGGAAGAAATGTCAGACAGGTTTTGTCATTCAATGACATTAAATTTATAGAAATAAGTAACTTACAAGTGTATCTAAATAAAAACTCAAACCAGTTTTCTCCTTTTACACATTTCTTTCACTTGAACTACTCTCCCCTTGTCACGGTTAAGGGATTAAACCAGTATTAAGTAAACAAATAAGCATATGCTATTGAGTGATATTGACACAGCTATTTTAGAAATAAGGTAATCCAATGGATGGTTTATATTAACTGAACCATTATATAAAAACAACACCTACCACGTATTTGATAATATAAAAAAGTAAAAAATTTATGTTATTGAAGTTGTAAGTTCAGAAAAAGCATTGTGCGATGGTTTATAAAGTTTAAATAGTGTGTTTACTATATAGATGGTTACCACATGCCAACACATGAAGTCTTCACCCTCATTTGCAACCCCCAAAACTAGGGAAGTTGTGAGAACTAGGTGTAGGTAACTATGGTTTAGAATCGGTGTTACTATTCTTTTGCACAAAATTCTGATTGACTGTCTTGATATGTGAATCTTGCTAATATCCAACCGGTTTAGGTGATATTCTGGTAGCACATAACATTTCTTCCTGTAAACATGCATATTCAATGTCAGCAGACAACGTTTGAGGCTTGAAAGCCTTGACAAATGATTTAATCATGTGTTTCAAACCCCCAATAAAACATTCCAGGAATTATATCTGAGGCAAGAGATGATGAGTTTGAATCATCAAAAACTTCTCAAATTCTCAAAGGAATCAATATAATCCTCTAATTTAAACACCCATTTTGTTGTAGTTTTTTGATCTGTTCAACCACATTGTTACCTATTTCATCTTTAAATCGAGTGCATAGATCAATAATGAATCATCCCATACTACTTAGTTTCTTTCGACTATATCGCTATGAAAAGAGTCTTCTGATTTCAGATTAAGGATTATACATGATAAATCTAGCCTTTTTTTTTAGCCCCAGTATTTGACCAAGAAACTATTTGGTTTCTCGGGGTAGGGGCCAGGAAACACCCTACCTATTTATTAAAAAAGATGGAAAAACATACATTGAGTAGGAGGACTAGACCAATGCCTACTCAGGATCAAACACATAGGGATAACTAACAGCATCAAATTTTAAGATACCAACACAATGATTGAAATGATGAGTTGTGGTATGAATAGAAACACTCCTATGAGCTAAATATTCAGCTGCTCGATTGACCCTCGGGTGGATGAAAGTGATCACACAATCATGATCTAGCCTTTGATTATACTCTACATTACAGAAATACTTCAGGCATTTCTTTATCCATATCTTGGGATTTCGCTTATCTCTTTCCTCATCGGATATAATCTGGCTTCCTACTTCCTCTTCTATTCTGATGACTTCTTTCTTTTTATCCTCATTACCTTGAGGATTTCTCCCAGGACTAGAGATTGTTCCCAACAATTTCTGCTGTAGTAAGTTTATCCATTCCTCCATGAAAATCTTCAATTGGTTCAGCTTTTTGCTGGTGGCAGTTTAATTTGTTGTTCTTGATCGATCTTCAGGATTAAACTTGCAGGTCCAAAATCAAGAGCTTTAAAACCAACGTTACTGTACCAGGTTTTTCCTCCAGAAGATGAATGAGTGATTGAGAAAATTCAGTGAACAAATCACATTGAAGATAAGAGAGAGATTGGGAAACATCAAATGGGTATTCAATACTTGTTCAGTTAGTTGTTCAGATCAACAATTCAGTCAATTCAATTGCAAAAAAAAAACAATTCAACCCATTCTCAGACCAAGGATTTATTCTTTTGGACTGCAATTTGCTGGTCTGGTCTGGTAAACGTCTGGTCTCTGTGTTTTTTTATAACTACAGAAGTCTGGTCTGATCTAGTCTGCGACTGAAAACAGTCCAAAAGAAAACATCCTAACTGATCCGTTAACAACTTGCCGAAGCAGTTATATATTTACTAGAATTTCACCCATGCGTTGCACGGGATGTGAATGCAATTCATAATTATTGAATTTTTTGAGAGAATATATACATACAACTGGTTCAAGTTCAAAGAATTCATAGGTACTGTACTTCCCTTTTATATGCTCCATCCGTTCTAGTCTAAAGTTCTCACTTTCTTTTTTGAGCGTTTCAGTTAAAAGTTCTCATTTCTATTTTAGGAAATAATTAAGGGAAAATTTTCAAATAGGTCCTCGAACTTTCATAAAAAGGTCAAATAAGTCCTCATATAGGAGACTCTGTCTGGCAGTTGCGATTTGGTGCGGTTCCCGGTGAAATTTTTTGATGAAAATTTTTTAGCATCTTATTCATCAAGTCTAGTTTACTCATACCAAATTTCACCTAAAACTTCAATCGGGAACGCATTCAATTCAAATTAATTCTTGAAGATAACTGTGCAGTTAAATCTTCAAGAATTAATTTAAATCTTGAAGATGAATCATTAGATCCAATAACATTGAGACATGTGAATGTGGCACGATTATTAAGAAAAATGAATTTATGTGATTAATGTTAAATTGATAAAATAAAAATAAAGAATGATTAGAACCACATAATTTTACCAAATTTGATGTGACACAATCTTAATGAGAAAGACGGGAAAAAAATGAGACAATCATAAAACAGTTTTTATTTTTTACTTTCGGTGTAAAAATTATGGTCTTGTTTTTGCATAGTTGATCTATTGAATATTGATATGTGAAAAAGTATATCGAATCTCCGTGCTCATATTATGATATTCAGACAATCATAGTTATCATACCACTCATACGCAGTTATCCGTATTATATAGTGATCAGTACCACACTACCGCTAACAGCTAGAAGGGGAGAAAGTAGAACCTCATTACTATTGAATCCATAATCATGAAGCACTTTGTTTACGAATAGGGCATGTAAATGTATAATCGAAAAGTCTATCAATGATTAAAGTCCCATTTAGTGATAAAATTGACATGAAGATTGAAGAACTTATATTGCTAAATACTTAATTTGGACTACTGACATGGTACGAAAAAAACAATAATTTTGTATATATCGCCAATTAACAAACCAAAACGATTTCCAAATAAAAAATGTATAGAAACGGTAACATATGGAATAAAGGATAGCAAATTCATTACAAATAGGAAAAATCGCATTTTTAGTCCCTGAAATAGTCACGAAAATGAAATGTCAGACCTGTATTACCAAGTATGTAAACGTCATCCCTCAATTGTCCTAAATGCCGTTAATGTAGTCCTTTGAAGGGTGAAATATACAATGTGGCCAAGAGTACATATCACCCCTTAAAAGGACCACATTTACAACAATTTGGACAATTGAGGGGTGACATTTACAATTTCAGAAATACGGGTCCGACATTTCATTTTCATGACTATTTTAGGGACTAAAAGTGCGATTTTCCCTTAGAAATAAGTAATTTAGAGTAAACATTTGATTTCAGAAATACAGATTTCTTATTTGATCTAAGGATTCATCTTTATAAACTGCTCTATCAATCTTCTAAACTTTTGGGCTCTCAAAGAAGGTGTTCATGGACTCATAGACCAAACCCTCAATGAAATCTCATCATCGTCACCTTCACCGGTTTTGGCTCCTCAACGTCCAATCCTGCAATTTAAGGTCAAAATTGAGTGTGCTGTCATTTTTTACTTGGAAACACTTTCACAATTATAAATATCTCCTTAGTGTGATGCTGGAGATATATGTTTGCACAAGATTATGCAGATATTAATGGCGTAAAAAGATTTGATGCCAATTCCTAATAATCCGGTGCTTAAAGGCAACATTTCAAATGTTAGAGTGAAAACTGCTTATGCATATTCAGGTGGGGACACACATAAACATGTAAACTAATACTATTAGTGTCACTGAATATAAGAATTCAGGATATGTCCAACTCAACTTACCTAGTTATTAAATATAAAAAGATATTTATTCTTCTTGGGGAAGTTCCCGAAATAGGACCAAAACAGTTTGAAAATTCCAAAATAGGACTGACATGTTTTTTATTCCAAAAATAGAAGTAATTACTGTCATGTTTGGAAAATCCTGTCATGTTTGAAGTCTGATACTGTCAGAACATGACATTAATTAGTCCTATTTTGGGAATAAAAACATAGCAGTCATATTTTGGAATTTTCAAACCTTTTTAGTCCTATTTCGGGTAATATTCTCTTCTTCTTCTTCTTTTTTTTTTTGGGCCTGAAAAACCACCATTGATGGTGTGGTAAATGTCGGGTAACATTTACCTAATAAATAAATTCAAAAGATCCGAATTACAAGAGTAAAGATTGAGAATGGAAATACAAAAGTCTTGCGGGCTAAAACTAACTAAAAGCAAAAGATAGAGTTTGTGGGTCTGCTCCAACATTGCGCATAAGTCCAAGGAAGGGAATGTTGGACTATTAGGGATTTCATCTTATTCCAACGTAATATTCTCTTCGTTTTATCATAAAATTGTATGAATAAATGAGTTTGAACAAATTGATTTGTTGAGTATGAGCCATTTTTTTTCTTCCCTTGCAGGTCGTGGGTTCCAAACATACTCTTAATGCTTGTTGAAATGAAACACACCTTATACACCTTTACGCTAATTCCTTTTCTTGTATTCTCATAGTATTTAGTACGTAGTACTTCTTATCACATCTTACATTTCCTAATGTCCTACTTTTATGGTTAACACAATTTCTTGTAGGTGCAACTTTATAAACTAAGCCTAGAATATGCAATGTTTTGGAATGCAAAGCAGAGGCAGCAAAAAGATTTTTTGGTGTTGATACTGAAATGCGAAAAGGAGATTGGTAGTGCATAAACTAAGTTTAGTACACCGTACCCCAATATAGAGCCCGTTTGGTAGCACGAAAATCGGCTGTTTTGGCTGATTCTGCTGAAATTTATGAAGTTCTGGCTAAAGTGGCTGCATTGGCTGATTCTGCTGATTTAAGAAAAAATTATTATTAAAATATATTTTATCAATAAAATAAAGAAAAAATTATATGTAAAAATAGCTAAAATAGTCATCTAGAGTAACTTCAGCCAATACAGCCAGAAAAGTAACTTCAACCTTACTTTTTATGCTTATTACACAATTCAACGCGCGAAAGTAAAAGTTACGTGTTTGGTGAAAAAGTTGGCTGATAAGTCTGATAAGCTGAAAAACCGGGTTGCCAAACGGCCTCATAATATCCTTTAATTGTAGCTGATTTTAGGTACTACAATGAATTCAATAAAAAAATGAATTCAATAAAAAATGAATTCAGAAATTAGTGCACCACTAAGTAGATCAAAGAAAAACCAATAAATTCAATATTCACCAATAATCTTTTTCAATTATCACAAATGCGATTTTGTTTTCTCCAATCAACTACAAAACACGGTGAAGATGAGAAAATCTAAAAGGAAGTTCGGAGTAATAGATATGGCAAACAATGGATAGATTGAAATGGAAAATAAAAACTCATGGCTGTCATTGTTGTCTTGTAATTTAGAAACTGTTCTCAAGAGAGGGAATCCAAAATTGATTAAGATTCCGTGCAACATTACTTTACATAAGTTCGACAAAAACTTATTTGAAATAAGGAAATAGGGAGGGAAAGAAAATACCTTCTATGAAATGTGCCCTTATGGCCGGAGTCATAGGGAGAGGTAAAAATTGACTGATCTGAGAAGAGGTAGAACAAATTGACTGAACTCAAACGAAGAAAAACGAATTCAGAACTGAAGATTTTTTATGAAACACGGAAGGGGTGTAAGGGTTTCCATCAAGGGGAGAATGAGACTATGAGAGTATAGTGAGATCTGAAAGTGGGGTGAGGTGGAAGAGCAGAACAATGGGGAAGGAAAAACTTCAGTCGTACATTTGATAAGATATTAATGGCGTGAATAGAAATACGACGAATTAATTGATAATATTAATTCCCAGATAAGTTTGCGTTTCTTGACAATATTGTACAACACATATTTATTGCTTCTTCTCATTATTCTCATGAGAAGGACATGTATTCATTGACGGGCCTCCATTTTTAACTACCATTTAGATACTCTGAAAGTGAATAGAAATACGACGAATTAATTGATCAATTAGAGAGAAAAATTGAATGACAGAGAAAAGAGTATTAATCTTCTGATTCTGAAGAGGATTAAACAATAACCACAAGAGAAGAAAGACCATGTGGGTGAGGAAGTGTATTTGCTTTAAGATGGAAGAAGCAAATGAAGTCAAATGACATACGTACATGAAAAAAAATAAAAATTTAGCTATGGTACTACACTGAATCAAAGCACGAATTATATTGGTCCGTAAGACTAATTTACAATCAACTCTATGAAAAAAATATGTAGTACTTTTAAGTTCCAATGCTCCTCAAAGTCCAGTGCAATAATCACTTCATTTTCTAATAAAAAAAAGATTGTCTCGAGTGTTTATTTCTAACGAAAAAACAAAACAATGTATCAGTTATATCAGTTATTATATCAGTTATTATATCAGTTATATCAGTTAATCTTCACAATGTAAAAGGAATCCGTTATTATATCAGTTATATCAGTTAATCTTCACAATGTAAAAGGAATCAGTTGTTATATTTAAAGATGAATAATTAAATAAATAATGAATATTGAATATGATTCTAAAAAGACCTTAGTTTTGCGTGCTTGAATTTGTTGCAGAAGATCGTCATTTATTTGAGATGATCTGGAATTGAAGAAAACCAGCTCCATAAGCAACTATAAAAATTGAAATTCGAATGAAGGAGAAAAGAAGAAGCAATTGACCCTGAAGAGGACAATTGCAGGTAAATCGTTGAAACCTAAAGGGAGAGCAAGCGTCTTGTTCTTCATTGCCATAGCTTTTCATCTTGAAATCAAAAAAATAAAGGAAAAAGACATTGTACTCTCTTGAACATGAATCTAAAAAGGCATATGAACAGAGCATGAATGTAATATAGAATCATACATGAAATAAAATTAAAACAAAAATTCAGCCGGCCCTAGGAATGTGCAGACTTCGAGCTTTTCCAGATTCCATTGAGCGATTTAGGAGAAAAATTGTTGCCGAGCTTTTCAACTGGGATAGATTCCGATGAGCAAAGAAGATGAATTGCTTCTGAGCTTTTGATGGATTCCAATGAGAGAAGGAGTGTTGTTGAGGCCGTTTACATCCATCTAGGAATGGAGTAAACTCGAATGGTCTGCGGCGAGGGAGGAGAGGCTAAAAGGAATGAACGATCTTTACATCACAGCGGTAGATCAAATTTTTGATCGTGTGGTCGATGTGCGTAAGATGCTTGAGCGGGAAAAAGATTTTCTCCAAAGTAGTGCAATTATTATGTAGGATGATTGTATCAAGGTAACAGTAATTCTATATCATCATCTGCTCTGTACATTCTTTGTTGTATAGTTCCCTTCTCTGCTATATGGAAAAAAAAAAAACTTACCAGGGTCACTTGCGTAGCCATGAAAGGAGCTTCAGAATTGAGTCATTATCTGTGGTTTACTAGTAATAGGATTGCCAAATGGAAACCATTGTGGAAACGCCAAAAGGAAAAGCTAGATTGCCAACAATTTTTCTTAATCAAAACTAAACGAGATTTATTGCCAAAAAAACTAAACGAGTATTTCACTGATAAATAATTGTGTGGTTTATTGGGAAAAATCATTAGACTAACAATATATTCCTTTTAAATTACGAACCCTGAGATTGAGCCTATTAAACTTATTGTCAGTGTGGACGAATGAAGCTTGAAGGGTGTGAGTCTCAAAGGGGTTAACTTTTACAAACCAGTGGTTAGAGAAGTAATTTAAGCTTCACAGTTTACCGTTTACAATAGCATTGGATGGATCAACTGCTCAAGCTTTAGAATGAAACATAATTGGAAAGGTCTTTTATTGATAAAATAACTTGGTTGAGATATTTAAGAATGACTATTCCCTATTAAAAGGTCAGGCCTTCAATGCTTTTTTATTTACAAAGGGATCAAAGTTTTTGTCTCGCTTAATCTGGCCGCATTGCCTATCCATCTTCAAAAAAGTGTAGATATTGTTGAGCTGAAGAAAAAAAAGTTAAGATTTGCAGAAAGGCATTAGTTTTTTGCTTCATCAGCTTCTTTGCAGCTTGAAGTGCTTATAGCCAATTACTAGGTAGAAAGAAATATGAAGTTATACACTTATACTTGCTGGCCACGTATGAGCTTATGAAATTGTGAACTTATAAAGTACCTTTGCATTTTTAATTTTTAGCTTCAAAATCTTCTAAAGAGATTGGTTTTCTTTTGAACCGAAATTCAATGTACATGGCAAGTATCAAAGATGCTCTTAGTAACGAGCATCTTTATAACCTCAATTGATAACAAAAAGAAGATGATGTGAAATATGATGTTGAAGTAGCTTTGACCATCAACAATGGGGCAAGATGCAAATGCATGTATGGATAGACCTGAGATAGTGTAGCTCCAGACTGATTGGTTCCGGGTCATTGGGTAGATGGAGCTGTGAGAGTAACGGGATATACTCGGTCCAGTTCTAGTTTTGATCTACCCAGGTAGTCCTAGTCCAATTCTCAGGCGGTTTTGGCCAATGGAAACCGTGCCACATTTTCATGTCCCAATCTTAGTGGGACGGAGGTAGTACGTAGTATCAAAAAAGTGGAGTGTCAAAAACGTGGAGTGTCATATATACTACTCGAGATATTTTCAACTTTGGTTACAATTAAAGCAAATGAAATAGTGAGCACACAAAAAAAGGAGCAGCGAGAGGGAAGCAAGCAAATGTATGGACAAAAGCTACAAAACTGAAAAATGTAGAAGGAAAAATGATGACAACCCTCATGGTAAAGATTACACTCCCAAACCAATAACGTTCACTGTTTCACAATAATATATATTGGTCAATATTAAACTCCCAAACCAATAACGCTTAGTGCAGTATGCAGTGAACCTGTTGAAAATGAGGAAATTTTAGGTTTTAAAAGAGTGTATAAATATGTTATACCTTACAGGATGAGAGGTCCAAATTAAAAAGAAAGAAGTTTATGGAGTGTTGCTAACTGCTAAGAAGTAGATGAGCAACCAACAAACTAAAGACTGCCGAAAGTGAAGTTCTGAAAAATGATGGTAGGGGTGCTTTTTACGGAGAACAGATTGAGATGATTGCTATTGTTCTAGAAAAGGATGGAAATGCCATTTTCTATCTATGGGGAAGGACCTGGAGCTGATCCAGTTATTTGGGTTGGACTGTAAAGTTCAACCGGATGACTATAGCTATTTCTCATGTTACAAATTCTACGCATTATCCTATCTTGTTCGTTATCCTCTTCTTATTTAAAAATATGTCAACAACGCATGAATTCTGCTTAATCATGTGCATGATATATAGAAGAGGTAAAGTTGACTATTGATAACCTACCAGATTCATTACACTTTAGGATTTATTCATTTGGTATGTTTCTTTTTGTAAGTATGGAGCTGCTAAAGGATCATTTGAAAGCAAACTTCACAAAAGCAACAGAGCAAGGAACTACATGTATAGTGTATGTAGTATTAGTTAGAATAAAGAAATGGACTGATCATTAAAACTTAAAAATATCACTTTACCAAAATGCATACGTTAAAAATAACTATATAAGTAGATCCTTTTATACAATTATACTTGGAGTTAAAAAGTTGGCATTTACTTCTGACACATTTAATACATAAGATTCTTTTTTTTTTTTGTGATAGCCATATTATCAAGTGATATTATTAAAAACTGAAGTGTCAAAACTACTACCGATAGAGATATTTTCAACATTGGTTACAACTTACAAGTTACAACTAAAGCAAATGAAAGAGTGAGCACAAGGAAAAAGGAGGTAGGACAAATGTTGAAAACCCTCATGGTCAAAAGATTACACTCCTGAACCAATAATGCTCATCACTATTTCACAATAATATACGTAGTATGTGTGCACACAGTAAAAAAGAGTCAACTATAGTAATAACAATTACTATTCTATTCGGAAGGAGAGAGCAACATGGTTGTGGGCCAGATAGAGTGGAGGAGAGTGAAGGACGTAAGAGGCACGCTTGGAGTCACGAAATGAAGGAGCTCGTCGACCTTCTCATACACACCCTGTGAAATGTGATACTGGAAAACACCACAGCTGCATACCAAGAAGACCATGTCCCCATCGTGTGGATGGAAAGCAACCGTACGGATGTTGAACTTGTTTTCTTCTTCTACTTGGATGCCATTAGGCGGAGGCAGCCTATCATTGAAGCATGTGTCATGAACGAGAGTCCAAGAACTGGTTCTGTGATTCAACTCCCAAACTTTAACATCAATGAGATCGCGAGGCTGCTGCGGGTCACCCAACGACGGGCGGAATACGTTGAATAATCTCAGTTCTCCCAGGACAACACCCAACTCTAGTGAAACAACACTCCCACCACCAGCCATAGAGCCTTCAGGAAGGTCAATAAAGGCAGTAGAGTGGGGGTTGTTCGCCAAATCACAGGCAATGACATAGTCAGGAACAACATTGCAATTAAACCAATAAATAGTTCCATTACAAGTGATTGGATTAATGAATAGCCTAGGGGTCTCAGTGGTAGTGGGTATAGGATATCGAAACCATGAATTAACACTCCATTTTCTTGATTTTGAACAATAAATTGACATCCTAAACTTCCAACTGTCCCCTCTGCGAGCAAATTCAACTTCTGCACAATCAATGGGACAATGAATGAGAACCACCTTGTATTCATAACTGCCACAGCTTTTAGAGGCGGGTGGCATGCGTACTACTGCAAACCCAATCACGAATTCTCTGAACCAAACATGGGGGAGATGGAGCCACTGTTTGGTTATTGGGTTACAGAGATAGTAGGAGTATGGCTTATCCAAATAGTTGGGTTCATCTTGCGACAACAACAGCAAGTCACCGCAAGATGCTCTTATGACCATGTTGGGTGAAGGCGGCTGGGCGCTGCCGCGGCTGCCTAAAGGAGGATAACTTCTACATGATGTGACTGTCTCTTCCTTTCCTCCCCCGTGGAGAACCATGGATTCTTCCGAAAATAGTTTGCAGATGGGCCGATAATACCCATATCCGAAATGCTCAAAAACATCTACTATGCGGAATATGATGGAATAAGGCTGCTCTTTCTTCTTTTGTTCCTGGAGGCCTATAAACCTGGGGATAAACTGCTGCTGAAAGATGATGGAATGCCAAAGGTGACAAACCAACCCTGCATGAATTGCATTTCTACTATTTGGTAGCCTAGCTAGTATTTCCAACAATACGTCTTCATTACCACCCTCCCCCCTCAACAATAGGCCTAGATCAGTAGCACTCATGCCTTCACCTGCTCCAGGATTAACAGCTTCACAGCTTCTCCTTAAATTAGGCGGCTACCTTCTGTCACCGTGACCAAAAAATCAAGCAATAAACCATCTTGTAGACAACTGGTTCTGGTGTAGGGTTGTTCTAATTATACTTATAAAGCTCCGTTGTTGTTTCGATTGAATGAATGCAAAAACAATAACAACAACAAACAATGGCAACTGAGTTTAATGTTTATAAATATAGACACGACCTCAAAGAAACTAATTATAAACCTGAAATTCGCAACCTTCGCCGCTGAACAACCTCTTTGCGATCACTTGTTCGATGTTAGGGTTTGGTAAAGCCTAAAAAATTGCCGCCTTCAGATATCGAATGCCTTCGAGTTCCTTGTCAATGTTGATGGATTGTTAAACACTTAAACGAAGGTGACGAAGGGAAACTAATTGTGTCCTTTTATATATCGATAGCTTGACAGCCTCACCTCAAGCAATAAGAGTTTAGTTTAGAAGCGGAATTAGAATCAGTTTTCAAAACGGATCATCTTCATTTTCTAAAAAACTGATTAAGAAAATTATTATTAGCCCCATGAGGTTATATCATAATTATTAATGCAACCTTGCATTTTAAAAAAATCAATTAGTTACCCCTTAAGTTTTAATCATTCTCACTATATACCCCCTCACGTTTATATTTATTAAATTAAATTTAATATACTTCTTAAATTCAATGAAAGTTGTATATAAATTTAATTTTCAAAATATAAAGCAATTTATCATCATAATTATAAGTCATTGTTGATGATCATTTGCTTTTCTACTTAACTACTCAGTCGTGGAGTAACTATTAATGAGAGTATTGATTAAGGGAAGGACCCACGAGTCATATTCATGGGATACATAAAAAGAATTGTTTATAAAATGTGTTATCAAAATTCTAGGCACTTCTTCATTATGAATATAAAAGTCTTATTTGTAATTCATTTGGTTGAATTAATCGCAATGACGTTTCTTTTGTGTGTAGCAAAGAAGAAATACCAAGTTTTTTTATCATCCCATGACCTTAAAGATAAGTTTAGTATGAGTAAGGGACCTAAAAGATAAAATGTGAGATGAACTAATGATTATTCCAATTATTCCATGATCTGAATAATTGAAAGTTGAGACCTAAAATATCATAGATTTTAATTTATTTAAAATTTTTATTAACGCTGTTACTAATTTGTGATGATTATATCTTCACAATAGTTTTTTTACTGTAAAAAGTTTATTAGTTTTATAAGATTAAATGATATTTAATGTTTTATAATAGAAAAAATTAGAAATTCGTGATATTGTTATATTTTACTCGTGAGTATTTTCTCTTAATTCCTCTCAATAATATTTATTCCATGATGGAGTAGCTAAGTAGAAAAATAACGATCAAGAACAATGACTTATAATTATGATAATATTTGTGTTTTACATTAAAAATTATTTTAGACATTTTTCATTGAATTTAAGAATTATATTAAATTTAAATTTAACAAATATTAACGTGAGGGGCAAAGAATGAGAATGATCCAAACTCAGGGGGTAACTAATTGAGTTTTGAAAATGCAAGGTTGCATTAATAATTATGATATAACCTCAGGGGGTTAAAAGTAAATTTCCCAAACTGATTTCTAGTAGTAAATTAGAGCACCAGAATCACTTTTGCACTTTCAATCAAACACTGCATCTTCTGCTTATGCTGCCTGAAAAGCAAAAGCAGTTTTAAGAATCATATCCAAACACCCCTTATACTCCGTAATTTCTTATTTCTTTAATTAATTATTTTGAATACTTCATTTTTTTACAAAAATATTAGAGTACTAAAATAAAATTATAAATATAAGTATGACTAATAGTTACTAGTGTGTAGTGTCCTAGTAATTTAATTTTGAAAATTAAACATAAGGTACTATGATTTCATTACTACTTCAGTCACTAGTCATAATTTCGTAAACAATCTTTATTTTAGTCATAATACGTAATTATTTCAGTTATATCTTAGTTCCGCAAATTATGCCCCAATATATACAGAAATTTTATTATAGCTTTGGTCTGCCAATGGGGCGGGTCTAGATCCGGACTTGACTCGGACCTGGTTATTTTAAACGAGTATGGATCTAAATTTTATTCTGTTTACCCGGACTCAATTCAATAACCGTTAGTATACTTTTAATAATTGGGTCATGTATGCTACGTATGATTCCGACCCGTTAATGATTCGTCCCAATTCAAAATTCTTTTTTAGTACGAGTATATATAATATATATACACACCGACACACGAATGCATACCAACAAGTGGAAAGTAACAAAGTCAAATCTTTTTATATTTGAATTAAAACTCATATAAGTCGTTCAACGTGTTGTTTAGATTGATTAAATTCCAGCAATCCCAAAACCCCCCTTTACTTACCAGTTTCATAAAAAGAGAATTATTCCTCTCCCTGTGGATACGAACTCTAATACACTATACAGTTTAGAGAACAAAGTTGACCGTTTCTCCGAAAAATAACCTTTTTGAGGTTATTTTTATTGATATGGGTTTTATGATGATAAAACCTTGTTACTAACTTCTATATGGTACTTCAAGAACTTTCACGGGGTTGAAAGGGTTGCCGGAGTTGTCGCCGGAGTTGGTTGAAGTTCACCGGAGTTTCACCGGAGCTAGATAAGAAAGGCTAGGGCTTCATAAGCTTCTTTCAAGGTGAGAAGACGGCTATATGCTTTATAACTTTTGATTGAGGCATGAGATTACCTAAAGTAATCAAGAATATGTTTTATGGAATGATTAAAGTTAATCAAGTATTGGCTTATGCCATGATTATATACAAAACATAGTTGAAAAGCATGTTTTGTATGTTTGGTGATTAAAAATGTGATAACTTATTATGTACAATGCTCCAGGGATCCAAAATGGTATTTTTGGATCAAGGACGACAAGGAGTACATGCGTATAAAATTTCGCGTTAATCGGACTTCGTTTGGGCGGTCAAACGGGCGTTGACCGCCGAGACAAAGGTGATACCCGACCGGGTATTGGTATATACCCGACCGGGTATTGGTTAGAAATGGCTCCAGAAGCCACTGTCTTACTAGACCCGACCGGGTAAGGGTATGGACCCGACCGGGTCTCAGGTAAGACCAGTTCCAGGGGCTTTTGCCCCGACCTACCCGACCGGGTAAGGTTGGATACCCGACCGGGTATTGGACTAGGCCCAAAACAGGCAGTTTTGAGCAGGTTAACGTGGGTCGTTCAAGTGGGACCCGCCCACGTTGGTTACTAGGGATTATTATATGACTATAGGACTAGGTATTGTCCATAGTTAAGTGAATGGAAGGTTAGCCATATCCAGGTTAGGGTTTGGTTAGAAATAAGGTTGAGGTTGAGTATCCTCGGGACGGTAAACGATCCCAAAACTCGGTGAGGTTGAGTATCCTCAGAACGGTAAACAATCCTAAAACTCGGTGAGGTTGAGTATCCTCAGGACGGTAAACAATCCTAAAACTCGGTGAGGTTGAGTATCCTCAAGACGGTAAACAATCCTAAAACTCGGTTGAGGTTGAGCATCCTCGGGACGGCAAATGATCCCAAAACTCGGTGGGGTTGAGTATCCCCGGGAGGGTAAACACTCCTGAAACTCGGTAGGATATTATGAAGGTAGAATGTAGCTCTTGAGCTAGGCATTCGGGAATGAATGGGAAAGGTTGGGTAACCGCCTTACCTCTAAAAGACTCTTTGTGATAAAACGACCCACGGGTCAAGTATTTTACAAGAATATACGATATGTATTATCTTGGGAATGGGGTAACGATGGTTATACCTATAAATGTACGTATCATCCTATTTTTGGGTCTCGTGTCTGAAACATTAGTTATTCCTCATATAGCTTGCTTGTCACTAGTACTTCTATGGAGTACTGACCCTAGCTCAAGGTCATGAGTGGGGTAGTTCTCTTCATGCTTTCTCAACTGTCGAGAAGCATAAGCAATTACCTTCCCTGATTGCATCAGTACGCATCCCGATCCCTGAATACTAGCATCGCTATAAATGTCATATCCCATCCCTTGCACGGGTAGAGCAAGTACTGGTACTTCAGTCAACCGTTTCTTCAGTTCAAGAAACCCCTTCTAGCACTTGTCGTCCCACACAAACTTAGCCCCCTTCTTAGTAAGCTTCGTGAGTGGAGATGCTATCACCGAGAACTTCTCCACGAATTTGCGGTAATACCCCGCTAAACCGAGGAAACTCCTTATTTCTTTCACATTCTTGGGCCTTTCCCAATTAGTGACTGCTTCAATCTTCGAGTTATCAACTGAAATGCCCGAACCTGATACCACGTGCCCGAGAAAACCGATCTCCCCAAGCCAAAATTCACACTTAGAGAATTTGGCAAAGAGTTGCTTCTCCCGCAGTGTTCCAAGTACGAGCCTTAGATATTTCTCATGTTCTTCTTCGTTCTTGGAGTATATCAAAATGTCATCAATGAACACTATGACGAATTGGTCCAGGTATTGATGAAATACTCGGTTCATGAGGTCCATGAATGCCGCGGGGGCATTTGTAAGCCCAAACGACATCACTAGGAACTCATAGTGACCATACCTTGTACAGAATGCACTTTTGGGTATGTCACTTTCCTTGATCTTCAGTTGATGGTAGCCCGACCTCAAGTCGATCTTGGAGAACACGGTTGCCCCCCGTAATTGATCAAACAAGTCGTCAATCCTTGGCAAAGGATATTTGTTCTTTATCGTGACCTTGTTCAATTGACGGTAGTCGATACACATTCTCATTGTACCATCCTTCTTCTTAACAAAGAGTACCGGTGCTCCCCATGGTGAATGACTCGGTCTAATGAATCCGTTATCTAGTAGCTCTTCCAATTGAACTTTCAACTCTTGAAGTTCTGCCGGTGCCATTCGATACGGAGGAATTGAGATGGGTTTGGTGCCTGGTTCAACCTCGATCTCAAACTCGATCTCCCGATCGGGTGGGAGTCCCGGTAGCTCTTCAGGGAACACCTCCTGATACTCGCTCACCACCTTCACTTCCGTGATACTCTTCCCCTTGCCTTCCTTGCCTATGACATAGGCTAAGTAAGCTTGACATCCTTTCCTCATCATACGCCTTGCTCTTATGGTCGATATGATGCAAGGATTGAATTTTCCTCTATCTCCCTTGAAACATACAGTATTTCCTTCACCATCCTTGAGTTCTAACACCTTGGTGTAGCAATCTACCTTTGCATGGTGCTTTTCAAGCCAATCCATGCCAAGTATGGCATCAAACTCAAGCATGGCTAACGGTACGAAGTCCCCCTTTAGACAGTGCTCCCCTATCTCCACATCACATGAAGGATAGTAGTCATTTCGTTCAACGTCATCCCCTAGAGGCGTAGACACCAATAGGGTTTGCGTCATTGGTGTTAAAGATGTGCCTAAACCC